TCAGATAAGAGGCAGAGAAGAGTGAGATATGGAAGAGAGAAGCTTAGAGACCAGGGGAGGATTTGCTGGGAATGCAGAGTTAGCAGAGGGCTTGAGACGCACAACCTTAAACTTCTGGCTTTGAGTAGACGTGGCAGTAAAAAAGAGAAATCAAAACAAAATCACTATAATGCCAAATGTACTTTGAGAATGTCCCTAATCTGTTTATTTTATAGCACCATTATAAACTATTTGTAATCTAATAAAATCTAAATTGCAACTTGACCAAAGCAACATATTATCTAGTTAGGGATAAGAGCAATTTTAATGGCAGCCTCTAACTGGACTGCCTTCTGTCCCCCTTCCTCACACAGAAATTCTTTGTTCAAATGATGGGGCTCTCCTGGCCTTTAGGGGCTGCATGTGGATTAGTCCAACCCCAAACAGAAATGCCCGATTTCCAAGCCAAGGACTAGCTTAACAAAGGGCATGTGACCCATCCCAGTCAACAGATACTGAGAAGTCTGCGAGAGGATTTCTGGGAAAAGCTTTTCTGCCGAGAGATTCGTGTGCAGGACCTCTATCCTTCTCAGCTCCAGAGGGCCACCAGTGTGCATGGTGCCCAGACTGCTGCAGCAACTGTGCAAGCGTGAATGGAGGCAGCACTCGTTCTGCTAAGGAAAGGGGAGCAAGAACACAGGGGGCCACACTGTAATGTCGTTCAGCTAATGAATCAATCCATCAAGCTTGCAATCACATGACCACCAGACTTACTATATGAAACAATAAACCTCTTACTGTTAAATCTACAAACTATACATCATCCAACTGGATACGCCATCTGAAACCAGAAGTGTAAATTCGCCCCATACCCACAGCTAAAGAGTCATTTCTCCCTGGGAGATAACAATCACTTTAATAAACTGAAGTCTCCTCAACCCCACTTAACAAAGGTGAGTGAGTACTTTGTTACTTGATCTAAATTTCTATCTCAAGCCAAATGACTTGCAGACAGTATTCATTGTTGGCCAGGTTATGAGAAAAGTTACGTTTTCCTTTTTCATGGTGCGGAAATGAGAATGATCAAGTGACCATTCTTGGAAAAGTCCCGGGCTATGCCGGACTCCTCGTCACCTTCACGCACATACACACATTCATGCATTGGAAAGAATGCAGCTCATGAGAGGACCGCAGGAGTGCCTTGGGCCAGTGTCAATACTTCTGTTCCTTGGTTTAGGGAATCAAGCACATCAAAAAGGTATTATGGGGCAAAAAAACCCACAAAAATCAGCAAACAGCATAAATAAAGCCTCCTGTTCTCATGAATAGAAGGCCTTCCTCAAAAACAGGGAACAAATTTTATTGATCTTCCAGTCCTGAGTAGTACAGTTGAGTTTCAGGTCTGGCACAGAATAGATGTGTTGAACAAAAATGTGTTGAACAGATTTAAGTATGTCAATGTGCAATCACTACACCGGGAACAGCAGTGCAAACAGGAATGCTGCCTCCCAGCGTGCCTGCTTTTTCACAGGTTTATAAAGCCACTGTGAGTTGAACCCATCCCACCACCGCCCCATCTCCCCTTCCTGCCTCCAGCTCTGAGCTGACCTGTGCAGTGAAGGGCCGTCAGAAGGGCTGCAGGAATGCAAACTGAGGCTCAGCTGTTGCTGCTTTATTAATGAATAGAAGAAAACATTATGGAGCGCTACATTTGAGCCATTTGGTCCCATATGAGGACGATGCTGGAGGGTGAGCAGTGAGGCTGGCATGGTAGTGGGAGTGAGATGATGCTGGACATTGGGTGACATTCTCAAGACAGTTAAATTCTACATTACAAGATCTTAGGCAAGAGAGTAATGTGGTCCGATTCTCACTACAGAAATGGCTCTGTAGGTACGTGGGGGGTGGGTATAACCGGGCGGCAGGCTACATCTACCGAAGAGTGAGAACAGCACAGGACCAGAACAGCGTTAGCAGGGGCGGAGATCCCTTTAGGACTGATTCCTAATCAAATGTATCATAAGCAACTTCATCTCGACATGTCTGCAGCAGAACTCATGATTCCCCCTAAACTGACCCTCTACCCCTCTTCTGTCACAGGAAATGACTGAACTATTTACCAAGTAGTTCAAGCCAGAAACTTGCTTTTGTTATTTCCTTCATCTCTTATGTCCAATTAAATACTATATCCTGTGCGTTCTAACTCCTAGCTGTCCCCCATCCCATTCACTTCCCCCCTCTATATCCCATCCCATCGTCATTTTCGCTTTGGACTAGCGGAACATCTACTTGCTGACAGGGCACACCCACTCCCAATTCCTGAAATCCACTCTCCGTATCACTTCCGAAGCAGTCCTTGCAGTTCAACACTAATCGTGTCACCATCCTATTCAAAATACCCTCTGTGGCTTCCCATCGCTCCTAGGGCACAGTCCACAACTCCTAACGTGGCATGTAAGATCCTCTGTTATTTGGCTCCTGCCTAAGAAAGAAACAGTAAGAACCCCTAACGTTACTGCATGTTTCTTATGTGCTAGGACTGTGCTAGGCTTGGCGAGCACTGTCTCGTGCTTTTCTCATTGTGAGGCATCATCCTCGTTTTGCAGATGAAGAAACTGAGTCAAGAAGAAATCAGGTAACTTATCTAATAGAGTAGAGCTCATAAAGTAGGAGAGCCAGGTCTGACTCCATAGTGTGTTTAAGCTCCCGCTGTCCCCGCAGGTGTGTACCCCACCCACGCCGCATTAGTTCTTAGAACTCACGTGCTCTCTCTTGCCACTAGACCTTCACACACACACACGTTCCCTACATCTGGAATGTCCGCCTCCCAAATTTCATTTTTGCCTGGGTAATATTTACTCATTCATCAAATCTCTGCCCGAATGCACCTCCTCAGAGTTTTCCTTGACTACCTAAAATCACATTGCTTATTTGTTTACTTCCTCACGGTCTGTCTCCTTCAATAGAATGTCAAAATTGTTCACTTGTTCTTAGAATGGCATTCACCAGGGGGTTGAATAAACACCTGCTGAATGAGGTGTGAATGAATAATGTGGGGTGGAAACTCCCTAATCCATACTTTATTCAGACTGCTAAGAAACAAAAATAAGTCAAATATAAATTTGTTCACCCACTGCATGTTTATTTAGTGGCCTCTCGGTCCCAGTCAATACCCTTGAGAGTTTACAGCCCTCCTAGGGGAGACAAATGCATATATTGTGATGACAGCACAATGTAAGGAAACGCCTGTTGTAACTGTAGCAGGAATAAAGTGCAATAGACGCAGGGATGACAAAGAGCAGAAATCTACGGGAAACCTTCACAGTATAGGAGATGCTTTAATACTTTTGCAGGATGAATGGGTCTTGGCATATATATCACACACAGTCCGTGTATTTCACTTATGAAAAGGGAGAGCACCAGTACATCTCATTTAATTCTCACAACAGCTCTGTCACTTTGTGTCATCGGTAAGATGTGGAAACCCAAGCTCATAAGTCAAATAACTTAACTTGTCCAAGGTTACGCAGAACATTAATAAAGGAGGAGAATTTCATCCCAGGGTTTTCTGACTCCAGTGACCATTTATGTACCGTTACATCACAGTCTTTTGACCCTGTACTGCTCAGAGACTAATTACTTTTGTTTTCAGAACTGCTACCAAAATTGGTTATCTGGTTTCCCATTTCAATATAAACAAAGAGCAAAATGAAAGATTCAGGAAGAGACCAAGGTGAAGTATACTGACTGCAAGAGAAGGAACAGAACTACAAAAACTGAACCCCAAAATTAAAAATAAAAACACTCCCCCTCAGCTATACAACAGTGCCTGACGTGCAAAATGATGCACCTATTAAGGAAAAAATGGTTGCTGTAGTCATTCCAGTTTACAAGATAGGTAAGTTTCTTAAAGGGTAAACTTTAGGTATCCAGAAAATTAATTCCTCCCTGGTAACCCTGGATAAATGAATTGCAACGATTGTTTCCAAAGTTTGTGATAAGAAATATCCCAAGATCTTCATTTTATGGATATGATTATTTTTCTGTTGCTTTAAACTAAATTCAACCAGAATAGAAAAAAGTTAATCTTAGCTTACCTATATACCCAAGTAAATTATAAATTTTAAAAACTTCTCAACATGACTTTGAACAAACATGTGGATCGGGTAATTTAGAATGACAAACATAAAGGGTTTACTGTCACACTTGATATCTAAAAGCCATCTTTCTCTTTAAAAAAAACCCTTCTAATAAATCTTCTAATAAAATAGGATACATTTATTACATATGAAACAGGAGGAAAACATTTTAGTCTGTTCCACTCACAACTTAGATATGTGAAAATGAAAAGACTAACAATTTAAGCAAACAGAGAAAGCTGGCTGAGTAATTTACCATAAGAGTGTTTCTACCATTCTCTCAGCCTGGGTCCAATTTTTCAATCTGAAGATGTCAGCTTTTTTTTAAAAAAACACAGGTTTTTATTATTTTATGTAATTCTTTTTTTTTTTTTTTTGAAAAAATAAAGGTCGCATGTAGAGAACAGACCCTGGCTTTTTGTTGTTTCACCAGTTGTCTTGAACAAGCTGACTAGAAAATATTTAATATCCTTTATCATTTTAGAGGCTTTTAAGTGTGAAACACTGGCACTGTAACAATGTGAACAGCTAGTGGCTACAGTTCCCAACAACATGTAACAATGAGTATGGGTAAAAGCAAGTCCTCACTTGTAAGTCACTGTAACTTCCACATATTTTTCCATGAGGAATGCAGTTTCTGCTAAAACTCTCTAGACAATAGGTATTCACTTATATTTGAAAACTGCTTTTCCTTTAGTTCATCTCATACAATTTGGACTCTAAATTCAACGTCTTACAGAGCACTCTAAACTTAAAACTATAGAGTGAATTCGTAGTAAGAGTTCGCGTAACAGCCTGCGAGAGGCAGACACGAAGGGAATACTTGCGAGTAAAACTGCACAGTACTCGGCAGGCAGGTGTGATCCTGCGGCTCCTCCTTACCTGGACGCTCTTCAAAATATGCTCGCTTTTCTCTCTTACGTCTTTAAAGGGACACCTCTTGGAGAGCATGAGCAGGTGAGCGAGCAGCTTATTCAGCCCATCCGCAGGGACAGCGTCCGAAAGCCCGTCTGGCGGCCGGCGGGACGTCTCTCCCCCCGAGCGGAGATCCTCGGTTTTCCTCCGAACGACCTGCCGGACGTGCTCCAGGGCCGCCTCCCTCGCGGCGGGGTCTCTGCTGCACAGGCCGTCCCACCGGACTTCGGGCTCCCCTTCAGCCATGACAACGCGCGGCTTTTCTTTGCAGTCTTGTTACGCTTCAGCGTGGACCCCCAAAAGCCCTTTGCATTTTAAAAACCAGAAACGTAAAAAGAAAATCACAAGAAAGCGAGTCGTCAAGCAAACACGTCTGGGTGACCTCTGGAACCGGCACTGTCTTCTCTGTCGATGGCTTCCAACGAGCGGCCGGCCCGAGCCACGGGCTCCCGGCGCGCGGAGGCGAGTCCCGTGGGGGCGCCGCGGGGTCAGCGGGGCCCGGCTCGCGGCGGCGCTGTCAGCTCCCGACGCTGCGCGGCGGCTGGCGGAGGCCGAGCCCTCGGGCCATGCGGGCGTTCGCGGCCCCGCCCCGCCCTCCCCGGCGCCGGCGCCCGCCCCCCGCAGCTCCTCCCGCGCCGGGCACCGACTCCCGCCCGGCCAGCCCCGGATCCCGGGCGGGCGACACTCGTCCTTCCCCGGCGTCCTCGCGCACCGCCCCCCGAGCCGGCCGGGCACAGGGCGGCCCCCCAATCCCCGCGCGCGCGCGCCGGGCCGCCGAGGCACAGAGCCCGCCCCTCCCCCCCGCCGCGCCGGTGGGGCCCGGCCCAGAGGGCGGGAGCGGCAGGGAGAGGGGTCCGCACCCCGGCCCCGCCCCTTTCCCCGCCCGGCGCTAACGGGGCCGCCCCCGCCCGCGCAGCCGCGACCCGCGGAGCCCGAGCCGCTGGGAAAAGCCCCGCCTTCCCACCCGCTACCTCAGGACCCCAGGTCGGCGCGCGGCCGCCGTCGCGGCAGGCTGTGCGCATGCGTCACGGTGAACGGGGAGCATGCGCCCTGAGAGGCGGCCGCCGGCGCCGGGCGCCTTCGGGCCGGGACGTTGGGGCTCGCTGGTCTGCGGGAGGTAACGAGGCGGCGCCTGGGGTGGGGGGCTGCAGGGACGCGGCACCCGGGGCAGCGGAGGGGGCGCGCGCACAGCCCCTGGAGAGCTTGAGTCCAAACTTAAGACTTAAAAATAGTGATGTGCCACCATCAATAGAACAAAAAGGTACCCTACAGTATGGGAGAATATATTCATAAATGACAGATCCGATAAAGGGTTGACATCCAAAATACATAGAGCTCCCACACCTCAACAAACAAAAATCAAATAATCCAATTAAAAAATGGGCAGAGGAGCTGAACAGACAGTTCTCTAAAAAAGAAATTCAGATGGCCAACAGACACATGAAAAGATGCTCCACATCCCTTGTCATCAGAGAAATGCAAATTAAAACCACAAATGAGATATCACCTCACACCAGTAAGGATCGTCACCATCCAAAAGACAAACAACAAATGTTGGCGAGGTTGTGGAGAAAGCGGAACCCTCCTACACTGCTGGTGGGAATGTAAATTGGTTCAACTATTGTGGAAAGCAGTATGGAGGTTCCTCAAAATGCTTAAAATAGACTTACCATTTGACCCAGGAATTCCACTCCTAGGAATCTACCCTAAGAATACAACAGCCCAGTTTGAGAAAGACAGATGCACCCCTATGTTTATCGCAGCACTATTTACAATAGCCAAG